AATAGTATACACTATTAAATTTGGGGGAAATATTTCTGTGGTACTCCAGGAGTGCACTTAGGGAGAGATTTTTTGAAATTCGGTCTCTAAAGGGAGAGAGGAAGGTGGTAACGTTTAGATAAAGAAGCATTGGTGATTGTTTGTAAAAAAAGATGTTTTTAGATAGGAAGGGGAGGTGAAGACGTAGGAGATGGAAATGAAAAATCGAATAGAAAATAGAAACATCCTACATCCTTAACTATTTACGAACAGTAATCTAATCTAGATCCACCTCTACTCCTCTTAGCTCCTGTTTCTGCCTCTAACATGACTCTGACTAGCTCTTAAAAATAACATTGTTATTGGAAAATTACCTTTACCCTTCCAGCACACTTTTATCTAACCTAAATTTCCTGTTTTCACACCCCTCCACTACCTTCCTTCGTCATCTCTTATATTGTCCTAAAAAAACTACCCTCTTTCCTTAAAATTTCCTTCGAGCTGACTAAAGGGTCAACCCTAATCCTCATTCGCCAATTCATGGCATTCTTCCCAAGTTGTACTATCTCCACATCCTTCTAACACATATATCTGACATTCTACCTCCCTGTCTTCCATAATTTCCATTCTTATACACTCGTTCTCTATTCTAAACTTGGCACCCAATCCTTATTATTATACTTTTTAAAACTTAATGATGTTTCTCTGTCCGCATTTAACGTTATCATTGAACTTTTAACAAACAGCTATGCATTATCCAAAGATATATTAGGAAACATTAAGAGAAGTTTTCCTCTGGAGTACAATGGCCATTTGTGTATTGTCAGCCATATCGAATTGTTGATGAGTTTTCTTAAATTACGACGAACGTTAATGACAGGACACTGTTCCGAAACGACTTGGAAATCGGTAGCCGTAAACGTAATGTAAATGCACCGTAAACAAAACTCATTAAGGTTATTAAATCCGTTCAAGTCCTAAAATGCAACTGCGAGCACCTGTTTACCGCAACGCCCAACAACAACAACTCCGACGTCATCTTCAATATTTATCTCTCTTTGGATGTAACCGGCAAGAAGATTCAGGTATACAATGCCTGTATAATTGTTCGTATCCGCGCGTCCTCAGCTCATGTAGCTTTTGTTTAACCTATAAATACATATAACTATGTGTATGTAACTGTTTATGTGTGTGTATGTATTAAAATCCCCTTGACATTTTGATCTCCGGGACAGACATGACCGCATGAGCGCATTAAAATTCTTCAAGTATTATACTACTGTTGTGGAAACGACATGGATGTTCGTGTGAGGCCCCATGTAGTCGCTGCCTTAAATATAGAAGACAACAGCATCACAAACAACAGAACGTGAACAAATCTACAACATCAAGCGCTCTTTGAGTCGACTAAACAGATTTCCTACTCGTCCAATTCTCTCATGTTAAAAACAAAAAGACAAAAGAGACCTTTCGATTTTTAATTCCCACCAGCCACTAATGCTGATAGGCGGACTACTCCGGAAGGTAGGGCTGAAGGCCCTCTTCAGCATCCTTTCGGGAATCGTGGGAATGGATGGTGGTGGTGGTTCGGGTGAGAAAGATGAGACGGACGAAATGAAGACAGAAGAGAATGAAAGATTATCTGTGGAATATTACTGTCCCAGCATTTGTCTAAGAGATCCAAGGAAACCACAGAAAAACATAGACCAAGGCAGACAGACCCGGAATCGAACCGGCGTCTTCCCGAATGCCGAGCAATATGCTGTAAGCCATGCCGCTTAGTTCCATGTTACCAATGCTGACACCATGCTACCAATGCTGACACAGTGTTTCTAGATTAGCTGGTGCTATTGGAAAGTCTGTTATCATTTCCGAACTGAAAAGCTAAACAGATAAATCTGTTTTTGGACTTTTTGATTTCCGGTCCGTCTGTACTGATCCACGTTTTGCTATGGTTTCTTTGGATCACTTATGCAAATAGTGTGGCAGTAACATTTCACAGATAAAGGTTGTCGCCCAATTGCCCATCACAACACGAAACGATGTTGTCCGTCGCCTAATAGCGACGATTGAGTATCACCATGCCTAAAAGCAACAGTTGTAGTAAAGAAGCAATTGTAATAGCTGTATTATTGACAGAGGAAGAAAATAAAAAGAGAAAGGGGAGCGTGTAGATCCACCCCTTTAATTAAAAGAGGGGGAACTCTTTCTGCTCTAACTCTAAACAACAGCCGAAATATTGCAAATTTGCAAAACATATGTGTGTCCGACTTGTCTCAACAAGATGATTCTGGCCACCGCTGTGCCGATCCGCAATGCGCTCACTTGAACAGTTCAATACCTACACTACGTATCGTTCTTTGTCAGGGAGAATCGGAGACCCGCACACCGATCCGTCGACATTTCTTTCTGGATTTCTGAGCTGTTATCTATTCATTTACATCGTTTTTATCGCATCCGTATTTAGACGTACTGAAACGGAACGGACAAGTGTGCGACAACCTTTATCCGCCAATATTTGTAGCTGGTGGTAATTAAAAAGTTACCCAAAAGTTTGTTTTTTACTTTTCCTTAGCGCATACTGTAATTCACGTACTTTTAATAATGTCCTTCGGCTGAAACCATCACCGAATCTCTTTTCGACATTATTAACAGTGTTTTTTTATTCTATTAGTTAGTAGGTAATTTTCTTTCAGAACCAAGAGATATCTTGCTGTTGCCATTTAATCGTTAGTTTTTCTTACACAATTGGTTTCCTTGCATGTTCGCTGTTTCTGACATCGCCTTCCAGGAGAAATTAATTACCCTTTAGAAGCATTGGATACCTTTTTGTTTTCGTCGTTTATTTTAGAACGGTTCATCTGTTTCTTTTCTCTGCTTCTTATTTTTTTTTTGTATGTGCAAGTGTTGGTGGCAGCCGGCAGATTTTCAAAACGGGACAGAATTTATGTTATAATATTGTGTGGAGATACCTTACATAGTAAATTTTTCTTCATGGTTGATTTATATTAAATTACGAGATTTAAGGCAACGCAGTCTGTTTTGCCAAAAAGAAAGGAAAAAAAAAATAATGTAAAAATATGTAGGTATAGTTAAACCATTTCAATAATTAAATCATAGTTACTTAATATGTTTTATATTTTTATAATGCTGCATATTAAATTCAAAATCTTGAGTGTACATTTTTTACTTAGGTAAAGTAACAATCTTGTCAACTACTTTAGAATATCATTCCTAAATTCCCTAAGGTCATTCAAATTTGATTGAACTGATAATATCGATCATTTACATCGGCACAGTAACATTGATGGTTTAGCCTGATTTGCGAATGAATTCTCTACTCAGTGAGTGTCTTGTAACTCCTTTGGAAAATATTCTTTCAAGCACTTTTTGAGATTGAATCGACGCTCATTTATGGCTTTACCCTCATTTGAAGTTACTGTGACCATTTTCTTTGAGAAATCTATTTAGAATGACAAAACATTCGTTACTTTCTTGTTTAGCACATTCAATCCAGAAGCCATATTTGCTTTTTATCATCGTAAGAGAAGATAATTTGTCTCCCATTGTATGCGTAGTTTGGTTCTTCACGGTAAGGATCTGCTGATTACGTTTAGTTTATTGAATATTCGATCAAATAAACCAATTTCATTATCCCTTTTTCGTCATGCAATAGTTCGATATGACTAATAATACTCTGATATCTCTTTCTGTGACATACTGTAAAAAAAAAATGGTTGTTTAAAAGGAAAATCATCCACACTTAAGTAATATCTGCTTTATGGGGAACAAGCTTTTTCCCGTAGGATCGCTGTACTAAATATCTTCTGTTCTCCAATTCTTTCTAATACCTCTTCATTTCTAACCTTCTCTATCCACGGTATCCTCATCATTCGTCTGTTCCTTCACCTTTTCTGCGCCCACTGTCCATGTTTCGTACCCGTACAGCGGCGTGCTCCAAACATACACCTTTAACAACTTTTTCCGACATTCTAAATTCACCGTTGGCAAGCATAGAAGTGAATTCTTTTTACTGAAGACCACTCGACCCTGCGCTGTCCTCTGTTTTATATCCCTACTACTTCCGTTCTGACTTATCTGTCTTCCTAGATACCTAAAATCAGCCACTTCTTCGAATTATTCATCTCCTACTCCTCTTAACTCCCCTTTCTGCCTTTAATATATCTCTGACTAGACCTTCCATGCATGAAAAGGTATCCTACCAACCTATCCCGTTCTCCTATTCTTTCTAATACCTCTTCATTTCTAACCTTCTCTATCCACGGTATCCTTATTGAAGCCGACTCGACTCTCTGCTTTATATCCCTACTACTCCTTCCGTCCTGACTTATCTAACTTCTTACCTAAAATCAGCCACTTGTTCTAATTTTTCGTCTCCTATCTTTATAAATATTCGCTCTTTCCCTACTTTTTCTTCCCTTGACTGCAATATATATCTGTTACTAATTGCATTCTGGGATAACAATAGCTACATTTAAAAATTGCGAGAAATATTTAAATAAATAAATAAATGAGTTAGAGTGTTTTGCGTAGTCAGACATGCTTTATACCCATATAATAATAATGATGATACTAACACACAGTTGTATCCAATTTATTGTATCCTAACGATCATAGGACCGAATGTGGGGTATATTTCTTTCTTGTGTAGCTCTTGTTGCAATCGGTTTTCTCTCCTGGCGAACATTTTTTTGCCCCCATTAGATTATATAGTTGTCTTTGCTTGTTATCAGTTACCAGGTTCTCGAGTGCCAGGGGATCATCATGTTTATCGGATGTGCTCTGTAAACGTCGGTCGCGATTAAAGCATAATCCATATAAATCACGTTAAATTAGGCAACGTGTGCTCCAGATGGCTTCTGAGGTACTCCCACTAGAACGGGTCTGTGCGTTACATACATAAATATACATGCGTGTATTTGTTTGTTTGTGTGGAATATTTACGTAAGTGTAGAGGTGAAAAGAGCAGCCCCTAAATTGTGTTCTTTTTCTTGTTACAGCTCATCGACGCGAGCTATCGGAGCAGCCCATCATTTCAGACATCGGCTGTGATAGTCCTGTGCTCTGTACTCCTTGGACTTGCTGTTTTTATCGGCGTCATCCTTGTGTGGAAGTAAGTAATAAAATAATTCGAAGTGGTCTGTATTCTGTCGAAACTGCCAGACGCGGATCGCGATTTCGATCTTTTTGGTTCTCATCAGCGCGTCGCAGGCAGCTCCGACAAAACACAGACCAACTTTTACCTGCTGTCTTAACAGCGCGTTTTAGAAAATACCACAAATGGCGCAGTAAACGCCATCTGTAGTACGATGCTACATTTTAGGATTACGTATGCTTCAACAAGGTCCATTTAAATAGATGGATATCTACTTACTGAAAGAATCCCGGCGTGGTAGGCACATTACCAATCGAATAAAATAATTTGAAGTGGTCTGTATTATGCCAGACGCGGATCGCGATTTTGATCTTTTTGGATCTCATCAGCGCGTCGCAGGCAGCTCCAACAGTCTGGCAGTTTCGACAGAATACAGATCACTTCGAATTATTTTATTCGATTATGTTGAAGCATACGTAATCCTAAAATGTAGCATCGTACTGTAGATGGCGTTTACCGCGCCATTTGTGGTATTTTCTGGAAGTAAGTATTTCAAACTTTTAAAAGCAATTTCAATTTGTTGCAAACTTCACAACGAATATCTTACATATGTATTATCTAGTGTTAGTACAAACTTGTACAACTGGACCAGCGAGACGTGGCCCAACAGATTGTAATGCTTAGAGAAGCGCATTGGACGATAGCTATTTCTGTATTAAGATAAATCATGGCTTGATAATGTCCACACTAGAAATGGGCCAAACGTTCAACAAAATGAACTCCAGCTTTAATTATGTTCTCTATGAAAATTAAATTAAATGTGTTTTTTTAACAAATTTTTATCAGAACAAAAATCTTATTATTTTTGCGCATTGAAGTTTATGGTAATTGTTTACTGGGTCTGGGTCTCCTGGGTGTTGTAACCCCAATCCCACACGTGGTTGATGCCCCTGTACCTACCCATCAACGAAAACAATTTTTTGGCCAAATATTTATTTGTGCACTTACTTCCGCTTCAATTGAAATTTCTTTACTGCTTTCGTAGTAATTATCGTACATCCCCAAGGGAATAAAGCGAAGGGGTTTGATATACTGTATGTATACTGTGCCCCATTTCACCGTCTTCCAACTACGACAAAACGGATTCATAGATTACACGGTAGAACGCCATTTCCTTACTACCATATCGTGTGGTAATGGTACCGAGAAGCCATGTTGTAAATAAATTATCTTTTGCGGCACGAACACCCGAACATATCCCGCCACAATCGGCCCGTAATTTCGGCGGAATAATAATAATTGTCCGCGGCACAACACACTCCTCTTCCTCCTCTAATGGGTTCGCGTTTCTCTCTATCTCTCTCTCTGTCTCTCTCTTTTCGTGTGTACGATGACACGGGTCCGCCTCCAAATTAGAAAATCCCCCGGATCGTAACGAGCGGGGCATTTATTTGTTGTTTTCGACAGCGGTCTTCCCAGAACTATTAGTCAAGTCGTTACTGACTCGAATTGTACCTACTCCTAATCCAAATACCCACACGTGTAACCACATCGATCTCAATAATTTAAAAGAAGGCACCAACAAGGGGAAACGGTCCTAATCGTCCTTAACGCCTTTTGGATTATTTTAGTGTATCTACATATGTTACAATTAAAGTACGTTAGATAAATTGTCGGTAAATAGGTAACAGTTCTAAATGCAGTGTTTTGCAAAGCTTATTGGACAATTTATATCTCTTTTTCCAATATTGATGTTCATAAATTCGTATTTTTAATGTACGACCACATTATCCAACGTAAATACATTGCAGTTTTTAATGAAAGAAAATTTTTATAAATGCTGTTTATTGTAGTTATTCTGTTTTCTTGTTTATTATATAAATTTGCCAAATTTCAATTTTCCTATTAACTTTTAACTTTTGATACCTTATTTAATACGTTTTAAAACTACGTCTGCTTGGGCTTCAGTGAAACAGCTGTTTCTTTTAATGGGGGTTGTAATCCCTGAAAAAAACATCACAAACATGTTTGGATATAACGTGGTAGCATGACAGAAGCAAAAAAGTTATCAGAAATCAGAAACTTATGAAGAAATATAGCTTCAACTTCCGATCCATAACTCTGTATAGTTTGACATCACAAATTTAAAGTTTATCTTAATTAGGTAATGTGAATCCCAACAATTTTGTGGTTGTCCAAATTAATAATGTGCGGAGGAAGTAGAAATTGTGCGTTTTCGTTGTTTAGTAATTATGTATTTAAAAATGGAAAATTTAGTTTCTCCCGCCTACACCTGTTGTAGGAATGTTGAAGGATATTCCAAACTCGTAACATTTTTGGTTTTCTTTTTTGACATATAACAGACACCAGGTACGTAGATATATTCTGAGGCTTTTGTTGCAAACATTATTTAAAACTTTTTTAAGAATTATCTATGTACAAACAGAAATTAACTCAAATTCGCTAGTTCTGGTTACTGTGAAAATTAAAGAACTTCACGAAGTCGTCGAAAAAGACAGAAAAGGTTTCCTACCTTGTTAGTATCGGAAATATCATCAGTTTTCACTAAATCAGCTACAACCAGTGAATGACCCATGTTGAACTATATACAAATAATCCCTGATTCATCAATAAGTTTGGCGCGTGAACGGGGATCATCAATGGTCTAATCGCGGACAGTCGAATCGGGAACGCGTTAACGAAATGATTCTACCCTTAACGAATAACCGGTAAGAAACCCCAATTGTTGGTGGCTGGCGCTACCTCCTGGTTAAGATGATTGTAACGCTCCTGTCAACGTAAATGGTTTTGTTAAATTTTAAAGTGTATTGATCTATATTGAGAGGAAGATTTTTATAAACGTTTTTGTTCAATTTTCATTTGTAATGTAATCTATCTGGATTACTTGAGAACTAACTGTAAATCCATTTGTAGTTTGTATCTTTTTGTATTTCATATCTAATTTTACTTTACTATATAGTAAAGTTGTAATTGTTTTCTAATCTCGCCTTTCTCATCATTTTAACACCTTAAGCCCAATAAAAACACATTATAATGAGATAATTAAAATAAATAATTAACAAAAAATCGACAGTAACAATTTATCCCGTGAGAATATTTGAATGTATACTTCATGTACTTTCTCTAGTGATGTGCCCCTTCCAATGTCTTGGATGCGCGCTAGCAAAATGGTAGATAGGGAGAAAAAAGCTCATTATACTCTCGACTCTTGTTCATTAAACATACTTTTCCATACAGTACCTGCCAAAAGTTTTGTTCAATCATAAATAGTAGTGCGAGTCGAAAACAAGCGTTAAAGCCTTTAATATGTCTTCAAATATAAATAAACATCTCGTTGATATTTTCAGTAGTAAATGGTACCAATAACAGCACATTTGAGCAATGCAATTGTAGTGGATAAAATGGTCAATTTTTCCGTGCAGTACTGTACGGATTATACGCTCCTCACCGGTTAAGAGTTTGGCCGAGAGTTGTCTCCTTCCTTTTCTGACCTGGTGCTGTTCTTTTCTACTTTGCGCCGGTCAAACTGAAGGTCACATCGCTACAGAAACTAAACGATGTATACTTAGGTATTTATAAAACTCCAAAAGTGTAAATATTATTTGCGTGGTCAACTTAAGCTTAACGTTTGATACAGACATTTTAAACTCGAACAAAGCTGCTGTATATACAAGGCTAACACCCAGATTCGGTTTGTTATACAAATAGTAGTATGTATTATAAACGTTTTATCACGTAGTCAAACAAGAGACAGAGAGCGAGAAACGCTTCATCAGACGGTCGCTGTTATTACACGCTCGTTATCATTAAATAGCAAATTCGAACGAGAGATATTCGGTGAGATCGAGTTTCATCGTTCGCCGGGCGAATTCCTGTCACAATGACCTTAACTGCTTTTGTCTCCTATTCATCCTTAGGGAACGGCTCATCCATTTAACTTACACGTTATGTTGGAACGACGTTGGTTAATTTAATTTTCCGAATACAAATCCGAATACTAATTTTAGTGCTTCGGGCAAGTAAACAGCTCAAGTCAGTTGGGAAAATGGAAAGCCTACACACACTATCTCTCTCTCTCTTAGGCCCAAACCGACATCCCATCTCCAGAACATTGTTCCGATATCGATATTTCGCCCCCTCCCTACCTTTGTTCATATACCGATTACGGTCAGTCATGTAAAGCCAGTTTTGATTTGTGATTACAATTAACAAACGGATGACCCTTCAAACGACCTACAAATTGCAAACGTCTTAGATCAATTACTTTCAAGCGAAAGGTAGATGTAAAAGCTTTTGCTACAATTCGAATTCATAATCTATACCTTTTCCTTGTAAGGATATGCTTCGGATTAATACAGATTAGCCCCTGCCGATTTCAAAAAACTAGTTGAAATTTGCATTTTGCAACCAACGTATGTGTGTTCCAGCATGACACTTGTTTATTTTGTTTGTTTAATACATTCCTGATGTATTTGTGCAGTGTTGAAAGTTTGCAAATTTAAAATGTGATACGCAACGAGAAAGTGGTCCGTCAACCACACGAAATTCTCGTCAAATCTAAATAAAATTTTAAAATCTGATTTTGTTGGTGTATGTCTTGATTTGTAATATTTTCTTGTATGTAAATGCACCATATTAGCCATAACAAGCACAACACTGGGACCACTCAACGAAAGATTACTTATACAACTCCTTTTAGATAGATTTTAACAGAAAAACGGTCCTACAAATACATAAATTTTTAGGATAAAAGCTGTGGATGCCTGGGCGGCTACTAAAAAGTTGAAAAGAGCCAGAAAAGTTGTTTAACAAAATGTTTTTAGTATTTGAAATTTTCAGTTTGCTTTATACTAAAAATAAAACAAAAACTACCACTGTTTGAAAAAATGGATTTTTATTCATTTTTGGTCATACTCTTTTGTGTCAATACCGTTTCCATTTTATATAAAGCTCATTCTAACGCCTCCTTGCTAGATGCTAAACATACAGAAATAATA